GCTGGACAGTGATGGTACAGGCTGAAGGAAGGAGCCATGTCTTCCCCCATTCATGAGTTTGTTCATGCATACATGTTTGTGTGTGTGTATGCATGTGTGTGGTATACGTGTGTGTGTGTGTGTGTGTGTGTGTGTGTGTGTGTGTGTGTGTGTATGATGTCTAATGTCCTGTTTTCTCATTTCCAACCCAATACTGAACCTGGAACTTCCTATTTTCAGCTAAGGCTGGCTGGCCAGCAAGTCCCTATAATTCTTTTGTCCCTACAGCCTCTCTCACAGCACTAAGTTTGCAGGCATACACATCCACACCCAGCTTTTACATAGGTACTAGGGAGGATCAGAACTCGAGTCTTCATGCTTGGGCAACAGGGTTCTTACCCACTGCGCCATTTCCCCAGCCCTGACTCCTTTTCTGAATGTTCCAGGTGTCTTGTCACTCTCCCCTGGAAATTCCAGATAGCTGGCACACTCCACCATGCTCCTGATGACAGACTTATCCCTAAAGCATGCGTTTGCTCCATAGGAAGATTGTTCTTCTAGGCTCGACATGCCCCTTTGTTGAGTTTTTCCATCTTTCATTATATCGGTGCTCAAAAAAATTAGCTGACTTCCTCCCTGCCAGGATGTGTTGTCTTTCCAGTGGTCTTGCCAGTGGTTTCCACAGGCAACTCATCAATCTAAGGTGGACCCAGAGGGTGAGATGGCATTGACCATTGACCTAAAACACCTCATAGAAGAGAAAATGTGATCTCAAGAAGACATCAAGCATGAGTTTCAAACCTGTTTCTAAATTATTAGACTACACATTTTCAATGTATCTGTCTTAGAGTTTTCATTGCTATGAAGAATGGACCATGACCAAGGCAACTCTTTTAAGATTTATTGATTTTATTTATATGAGTACACTGTTGCTGTCTTCAGACACACCAGAAGAAGGCATCAGATCGCATTACAGATGGTTGTGAGCTGGGAAATGAACTCAGGACCTCCGGAAGAGCAGTCAGTGCTCTTAGCCACTGAACCATCTCTCCAGCCCAAGGCAACTCTTATAAAGGACAACATTTAACTGGAGGTGGTTTATGCTTTCAAAGGTTCAGTCCATTATCATCATGGCAGGAAGCATGTCAACACGCAGGCAGACACGGTGCTGGAGGAGCCAAGAGTTCTACATCTTTATTGAAAGGAAGCTGGAAGCAGACTGACTGTCTTCCAGGCAGCCAGAAGAAGGGTCTCAAAGCCCACTCCCACAGCAAGATGCTTCCTCCAACAAGGCCACACCTACTCCAACAAGGCCACACCTCCAAATAATGCCACTCCCTAGGCCAAAGATTCAAACCACCACAGTATCCATTTCTCATCCAGTTTCATTCATTTTTTTTCACTTAATTTCCATTCAAATTTCCAATTATGAGGAAGGGGAAGTTTGCCTTTTATATCCCTTGACATGGTTATGCTAAAGTATCTGTGAATGGATTAACAGAATGAACTGAGGAAAGAGCTTTTCAAATGAAGAGGGAGTGATTAATACATGCTGTGCATTCTTGGCTGTGCATTCGTGTTGAGTAGTCAGTACATAAACAAGAAAATGGAAAGCAGATCGATGGAAATAGCACCCCACTGAAACTAATACGCCATGTGTATTAGTGGTGAAGGATAAATGACATGTTAATGATTAAAAGACAAAGAACCATAATGAATGGACAAGGGTCTCCCTCGACCCTTCTGGTGTGTGAGAATACAGTGAAAAGAAGCCTTGTAGGAAACAGAAAGGGGTCACAACACACACACACACGCACACGCACACGCACACGCACACGCACACGCACACGCACACGCACACGCACGCACTCATGTGCACACACACCCGACCAGTGTCCTATCTGCAGGTACTTTGTCCTTGGATTCCCAGCTTTCAGAACCTTCAGAAACCCATTCCTGACAACCCATTGCTTACAACCCAACCCATCTCAGGTTCTTTGTAGAATCAAGCAAAATGGACCAAGACACTTGCCCACTTTACCAATATTACCTAATTCTCTTTGGTTCTTTAGTTGTTCCAGTGGGAACTCTGGGAACAACAACCAAAAAAAAAAAAAAAAAGCAGTCATCCCTCTTCTGCGTATTTGCTTATCTCTCTCACAGGTGTACAGACATCTCTTCTACTGACTAAGAAACCAAAGTCACCGAAGACCACAGATGTGTAAGCACTCTTTGTAACATTCAAGTTCCTGATCTGTGATGGTCATGAACCTGAAGACAATCCATGGTCTTTAAACCTGCTTCTAGATTGTCAATGCAATGTCTTCATCCAGCCAGTCACTCAGAGCATATACAGATAAGCACTCACACTGAGCAAGCACACACACACACACACACACAGACACACACACACTCAGCACTTCTAGATGGAAGGTTTAATTTGAAAGTACACTGCTGTTAGCTAAATGATCCTACAGGCACCAGCCACACCTCTCCCCGCTTATCTCTCTTTGGTTAAATGTTTTGAAATGAGTTTCAAACAGGGTTGGCTCAAATGGCAGCTCTTCATTTCACCTTGTTTCTGCAGATGCCATTTGTGGAAATGCTTTACGGTTCTGTTAATTACCTACACCGAGAGGTGATTTTATTGTTTCTAGAGAAGTACTTATGAATGTAAATATTCTGAGGCAGGAGATTTCTCCAGCAAACTGAAGCAGGAGTGTTTCATAGAGAAGTGGATGTGGACATTTAAAGAGCGGCATGGCTATTAGTAATATATCACTAGGATATTTCTCAGGTACAGTTCTAGGCAGAGAAGAACTGAGGCAGACTGCCCTGTCTGTGATGCAGCTGGGAGTTTGGACGACTCTTGCTCTGGCATTTGCATGTCTCCCATGTCTCTGACTCTCAGTGTACTCATCTCTGAAACAGTAGATATCTCTAAGAGAATGGGATTAGATTCCTAATGATGATAAACATGTAATCGCTGTCTGTGGATAATGAGGAGTTGGGAATCTTGTCCCAGTGATGGAAGATCAGGAGTTTAAGTCCTCTAGCCTTACTTCCAATAAGTATTCTCTGACTCTCCCACTCATCAACTGTGCTACTTTGGATGGGTTACTTAAACTCTCTGTGCTCTAGTTTCTGAGTTCATAAAATTGGTCAATGATGCTTTATATTTCAGAGTATTATGGAGACAGACAGATAACCCATGACACAAGAATTAAAATAGAATTTGCTCAAAGTTGGGTGGATGATGCACATTGGAATCAACAAGTATATGTTGGTCCTGGGGACAATCATGTATGCACCTTTGAGACTCTATAGTGTGGGAATAACACGGATTTCCTTGTTGGCTTTCAGTTGTCCCAAGTTGGCCAAATGTCCTTTCCATTTCTACGTGGTTCCTCAAAACAGGAAGTTAATGCCTTCATTATGAACAAAAATGAAATTTTTTTCTCTTCTGTATCAATAAAAAAAAAGATTATTTTTTTTCCTAGGGAAAATACTCTTAGCCCTCCTGGAGAGTCAGTTCTTCAGAGGCTTGCTGTGCCCAGCATGAAGACCTTGGCTCTTGCTAAGGAGAGCATATATGTACACCTCAGTGCCTCTGAGCACAGCCAGGGGCTGGTGCACTTCAGACATGTGCAGAGCAACTCAAAACTTTGACACACACTGGGGTCCCACCTCAGGGTGCTCTCAGTTGGTACCAGAGAAGAAAGTCTCTCCAGCTGTGGCAACCACAGCACTGCTTTGCATGGCAACCTGGCTCCTAACAATCCCTACCTTGCCCTGAGAGTGATGTCTCCATTGTAACAGAGGAGCAAAGCCTAAACTTGAGAATCCATCCAATGGAGTGTAAATTGTGACTCCATGATTTCAGGCAGCACAACAAAGGATGAGCTATTTACTCTCTATGAGCTTTAGTCTCATTGGCATCCCAACAAGGGGTAAGACACTTACCTCAGCAGCAGTAGTGAAGAATAAAAGAAAAAAACATGAGCTGAAGTAAATAAGGCATTTTTGCCAGTAGCTGGCATAGAGATACTGTGGCTATGATTTTCCAGACCTCAGCACTAATGTATCTGGAACATTCCACACATGACTTGTGCAAGAACAGAAAAGAAATAGAGGTTCCCGAAAAGACCTTGCACTGCATCTTGTCTCCAGCTTGGTGGAGTACAAAAGCAATTGGTTCTTTTAATCTCTCGTGGCCTCATGTTTTCAGGTTCCCCAGCTATGCTAGAAGGCACAGACAAAGTAGGCAGAACCAGCCCTCCTTAGCACAGCTTGCAAGCCTCTTTGCTTGCAAACTGGCCCAGTTTTCTTAGCTTAAAAGGTTGCTGAAGGTGTCAAGAAGAAGCCAAAATAGATCATTATTCTGACCTTTCTCAACACTTCCACTAGAGGTACAGGCCCATGGGGACATAGGGTCTTGCTTCTAAGGCTGCAAAGAGCATCACTGAGAAATGTTTCCCATGTTCTAATGGGTGTCACCAGCATGCAGTCCCTACCTGCCAGCTATCCCACACTCAGTCCCTGACAAGGAAGCTGATGTCATATATTCTGGAGGAAAGGGAATTGATGGGAACATTTGGATTCTACTTTCAATTTCTTACTAGAAAGCATGAGGAGTTCGGTGGCCTTTACATACCAGAAATTAAAATAAGGAGATGCTTCTGAAAGCATACAGCCCATGTTGCCATGGATATTCCAACAGTCACCACTACATGACCTTGGATAGACTTCTTGAGTGCCCTGAGCTTGTTTCTTCATCTTTAAAATGGAATGGTGGTCATACCTTCATTATTCCATTGAAGGGCAAATGAGCACAATAGATAGATAAATGGATAGATAGATAGATAGATGATAGATAGATAGATAGATGTAGATAGATGATAGATAGATAGATAGATAGATAGATAGATAGATAGATAGATAGATAGAAAGATAGATATTTGGTACTGAGTATGTAGTACTATGATCTTAATAAGCTTGAGATCTTCCCCCAGACCCACACCTACCCCTGGCAATAAGAAAAGAGACATCTTGTTGACGGTGTTCTTCTATCAATCAGGGGAAGGGCAGATGGCAGTCCTTTGTTCATCCTAGCTTGATACCTGGCTTGGTAGACAAAGCTGTCTTATGCCTAGAACACATAAAAATAGAATCCAGGCAGTGCAGTGCAAGAAGAGGAAGACAGACAAAGACCTGTGGACCATCCTGCCCTCCACTGTGTGGCACAAGCCGGCCATAGATACTCTCTTGCTCCCACACCTCACAGCATGTATGGAGAATGTCACCCAGAAGCCAGCCTGCAGCAGGAGCCACCACAATGTGCAAGTATACGGTGGTCAGATGGGGGAGAGAGGTGCAGCAGCTTGAGCATTATGAAGGGAGATGGAACTGGAGACTAGAGGATGGAGAGGGGTAGTCTGTTGTGAGTGGCCAGCCCCACCATCTGGGACCACCGAGAGAACCCAGCATGAGCTGCCACTCAGAACTGTGTCTGAGTCTGTAGCAAAGGTTGGTGTCTATGTCTGTGACTCATATTACCACTCAAGAACATGAGGATGTTTCTGGTCAGGGTAGCCACTGGGAATGAGGTGAATGTACAGGGGTTGTGCATAACGGGCCCCACTCCTCACAGGCTACTGCAATCTGGAGAGCTGGCCACACCCCCCACTGCTGCTACACTCTGGGGCTCTATGTGTCACCCAGGCAGCACAATAGTACTACTAGCACTGATCCTGGTAGAGGGGGAGTGGCTGAGCCAGCCCTGAGGACAGAGTGAGGGTGAGCTGGCCCTGCCACTCATTTACCATGAGGTGACATGGGTATGGGGGTGTTACCCTTCCCTACCTCCCTCGTCCCTCACCACCTGTAGCAGTCAGGCGAATTGGCCCTGAGGTCACGAGAGTGGGTGACTTGGCCCTGTCCCTCACAGGCTATAGAACTGGGGAAACCAAATCCTGCACCTTATCTGGGAAGCAGATGGCCCTAGGGAGGAGGGGTGTGCAAGTGAGCTGGCCTAGAGGGTAAAGTGGCACAGACATTGCCCTCCCTTTCACAGCCTCCCCCTTGTCACCTGCAACAGCCAGGAGAGCTGACCCTGGAGTCATGAGAGCAGGAGAGCTAGCCTGCTCCTTCTCTGGCTGTAGCATTCAGGAGAGTGGCCCTTGCATCTGTGAAGCTGGTCCAGATGGTGACGGCTTGAGCGAGGTTGTGAAAGCAGGAGAGCTAGCCCTGCCCATCACAGGATGCAACACTTAGGAGAGTGGGTCCTGAATCTTGACTAGGGAGTACAGTGGAGCTGGCTCTGGAGATGTAGGTGCAGGTGAGATTTCCATCGCTCCACCCCCAAGAGCATAAAAGCACAAATGCAGGAGAACTGACGCTGCCTCCTGCCCACAGTGGCATTGGGTGGGCCAGATGGAGCAGTGCTGAGAGTCCCACCCTTGTGGTGCAGATAAGGGAGACCCAGTGGGCTGATTAGCTCAGCTACCACTCTGGCCCAGATCCCAGGCTCTGAACTGGCCCATACCAAAATCTGCAAATGGTTGGGACATGTGGAAGGGCCAGTCCTGCTGTTCCAAAGCTGCAGGATCTCCATGACACAGGGCAACAACGGGATAGCCAGGAGTCCCTATGAGGATCCAATATTGACAGTGTCACAGAAGCTAGAGATCTCAAACCAAACCAATGACTCATTGCAATGAACATTTGCAAGTGAAGACATGTGGACAGAAGGATAGACTGTGATACACACTGGGACATACTACAGTTTCCATGATGAGGTGTTTTCTATGCATTGGTTTTTGTCGTTGTTTGTTTGTGTGTATGTTTTATTGTGGGAGTTGCAAGGGTGAAGGGTAGATATGAGGGGACAGAGAGATGAGGAGGACTGGGGTACATGATGTAAAACTCACGAAGAATCAATAAAAAGTTAAAAAACCACTTGAAATCTCATTACTATTGTATTGATATATATTGTTACTAATGTTATTGACATACATTGCTGCTACTTGTGAGAAAGATGGTTAAGTAACAGGCTACCGTTCGTCCCCTGATCTTGTGAGGTTTATATAAGGATGCTGATAACTCTGAGTACAGCAAGAATGATCAGTGCAATGAAAGAGACAGCTCACATTGCTACATCCTTAGCCCACTGAAGACTCCAAGGACTGAGGACCAACATCTGTAACATTCTACATGGAAAACGGACATAAAACAAGTAAGTCATGCCAGCTCATCACACTTTGCACCGTGCTTTAGAGCTATTTGCTCTGCGGTTTTTGCATCTAATTAGTGGCATGGTAATGTCATGACATGAGCTTGAACTGCCAGGGTTCTAATTCATGTTCTACCTCTGGCCAGATGTCTGGTCCCTGTCAGGTGTTCTACCTCTTCCTCATCTCTCCCCACCATATTATTCAAATTGCCAAATTAGTCAGTATCCATAAACTATGTAGAACACTTGCACATAGTAAGCACTCAACATGTAGCAGTCCTAGCTAACTGGTTTTAAAATCTTCAATTCCATTGTTTGGTTCATTTCTTTGTGTAAGTGTGTGCACACACTCATGCAGTAATGTATGTGTGTATACACTCATGCCATAGTGTACATGTGCACACACTCATGCCACAGTATACATGTGCACACACTCATGCCATAGTGTACATGTGCACACACACACTCATGCCATAGTGTACGTGTGCACACACTCATACCATAGTATACATGTGCACATACTCATGCTATAGGGTGCATGTGCACATACTCATACCATAGTGTATGTGTGCACACACTCATGCAGTAGCGGATGTGTGCGCACACTCATGCAGTAGCGGATGTGTGCACACACTCATGCAGTAGTAGATGTGTGCACACACTCATGCAGTAGTGGATGTGTGCACACACTCATGCAGTAGTGGATGTGTGCACACACACTTATGCAGTAGTGTACATGTGCACACACTCATGCAGTAGTGTATTGTGCACACGCTCATGCAGTAGTGGATGTGTGCATACACGCTTATGCAGTAGTGTACATGTCCACACATTCATGCTGTAGTATATTGTGCACACACTCATGCAGCAGTGTATGTGTGCACACACTCATGCAGTAGTGTACATGTGCACACACTCATGCTGTACCATATTGTGCACACACTCATGCTGTACTATATTGTGCACATATTCATGCAGTAGTGTACATGTGCACACATTCGTGCAATAGTATACATGTGCACACACTCATGCAGTAGTGGATGTGTGCACACACTTACGCAGTAGTGTACATGTCCACACACTCATGCTGTAGTATATTCTGCACACACTCATGCAGTAGTGTATATGTGCACACACTCATGCCGTAGTGAAAGTGTGAGGATCCATGGACAACCTGCCAGAGGTAGTTCTTTCTTTCCATTGTGTGGGTCTGAGGGACTGAACTCAGACAGCAAGCACCTCTATCTGTTGAGCAGTATTATTGGCCCCCTTTTGAACTTCTAAGTAGACCTACAGATAAAGTAGCTATCTCTACTGATGAAGAACTGAGGCTGCAAGGATTAAACTAGTAATTTTCAAAGCAAGAGCTCAAACTCGGGCCTCTGAGCTCCATGTTCATAATTCTTTCCCCTCCTGCCTGCAAACAATCTGTGAAAAGAAAAGAAAAAGAAAAATATATATATATATTCTCTCTAAAAAGCCAACACATAAAGGGCACAGATTAAAATGTTTCCTGAAGACAGGATATTGTGACACACAACTTAGTAAAGTAGCAAAAGAAGCCAGAGGTTTTAATTAAAAAGATAAATAAATAACAAAGTGACTAGCTTAGAACGAGTTTTCCTGCATAACTAAATCTTTAAAGATTTGGTTGGAACACCATAGTTCATATCAACTTAAAACAAAATGGCTGCTCTACAAGCTTGTGTAAAGAACTGTAACAGCCAAGCACTGTTAACCAGCCAATTTTGAGAGTATAATCACTACCTGTAAGGCAAAGAGGCATGACCATTAGAAGGGCTACATATTTAACGCAGTACAGACACGGAAAGACTGCATTTACTCAAACATACACATTTATCTAAAACTTGTCTTTTCATCTATTTTTGAGACTCTGATGAGGTGGTGCCCAACATCTAATTCCCTATCTTAACCATTTCTAAGCACAGCTCAGCAGCACGGAGCTCATACACTTGTGTAGCCATCACTACCATCCATTACTGAGCCCTTCCCAGCTTGCCAAACAGAAGTTCTGTACCCAGGAGACAGTGGGTCCATCCTCCACCATGGATTAAGTCAAATTGAATCAGTTCTTGAGCTGGGATTCTGTTTGCTCACCGATGTAGCTACTGTGCTGGGAAGAAAACTCTACAGTTTTGAGGATTCAGCCTTATTTACTCCAAACACATGAAGACTGTTTAAGGCTCTGTGTTGTTTTTACATCTCCAAGCACAATTCTGATTTCAGAACATCAAAAAGCAGAGGGAAGTTGTTTGTAAATCTAAACCCGATCACAAGGACAGAAGTTTCTAGAATCCATCTTATCCATTGAATAAGCTGTTCCTATAATTTAATCACAGGACATCAGTCCCGTCTCCATTGAAACAGGAGAAAGGATGAGAAGTTTTGTGCATACAAAGCCCTTTGTTTGACTCCCTGTTTGGTTTGGTTCAATTTTGGTTTAGTTTGTTTGTTTGTTTTTGTTTTTGTTTTTGTTTTTGTTTTCAGGGAGAATGAAACCCACTTCCAGAATTGTGCCTTTAGTCACATCTACCAAAAGAGGTCAATAGTCTAGCTTCTGTCAGAGCCTCAGAGCCGCTTCAGAACATCAGCCCGACAGATAACAAACCACAAAGAGTCTATTCTTTGCAGATAACAATGAGTTTCTCATCTCAGGCTTTTGATGGGTAAGGACAGATATTTAGAAGGAAAGCCTTTATTTCTGCTAGTCAAAAAAAAAAAGGCATTTTTGAAAGCAAAATTTATCAGGAGTTTTCTACAGGACAAACAGCATGGCCTGGGGCTTTGTTCCTGGAAATATGTCTTTAAGGACAATGGATGTTGTGACAGGACTCTCTGGTCGCTCCCTTGCCTGTGGTCCTTACCACAGACTCCAGCCCACTGTGGAGGTGCTGATGAAAACAGTCAATC